TTTTGTCTTTTTGAGACAGGTCTCCCTGTAGCCCCAGCTGGCCTGGAACTCACTATGTAGATCAGGCTGTTGAATTCACAGGGATCTGTCTGCCTCCTGAGTGCTGGGATTAAAGGCATGAGCCCTATGCCTGGCTATTTGTTATTTTTATTTAATGTCTATGAGTGTATTAATTGTATGTACGTAAGTCTACCTGTGTCATGCAGTGTTTAGGTCAGAAGAGGGTGTTGGATCCCCTGGAACTGGAGTTATGCATGGTTGTTAGCCATCGTGTGGGTGCTGGGAATCGAAGCTGGGTCCTCTGCAAGAGCAGTCAGTGCTCTTAACTGCTGAGCCATCTCTCCAACCCCCCTTTTTCTTTCTTAAAGATTTTTAAAAATTTTAATTTATGTCTATGAGGGAGGTATGTACATGTGTGTGCAGGTGCAATGGAGGCCAGAAGAGGGCATTGGATCCCCTGGGGTTGGGAGCCACCTGACATGGGTGTTGGGTACCAAATTTTTGTCCTCTGGAAGACCAGGACTCTTAACTGTGAGTACTGTTAACTGTTAAACCATCTCTCCAGCCTTTGTCCTAATTTTTATTATTCAGTAGCATAGCTTTTTTTTTTTTTTTTAATTCTTTTTGAGACAGGGTCTCCCTGTAGCCCCAGCTGGCCTGAAACTCAATATGTAGACCAGGCTGACCTTGAACTCATGCCTGCCTCTGCCTGTGGAGTGCTGGGATTAAAGGTATGTGCCACCACACCGGGCTCAGCTTTGGGTTTTTTTTTTTTTTTTGAGACAAGGCCCTCCTATGTAGCCCAGGTTGGTCTGGAAACTCACTATGTAGTCCAGGCTTGACTTGAACTCATGATCCTCCTGCTTTAGCTTCCCAAGTACTGGGATTACAAGTGTGTACCACCACAGCTAATACACCCCTTGGAGGTCATTCCTTATTAGAGCATAGAGAGCTGCCTCATTCCTTTAACCTAATTTTTTTTTAACCTTTTTTTTTTTTTTTTTTTTTTTTTTTTTTTTTTGGGATGGGGTCTCCCTTGTAGCCACAGCTGGCCTGGGACTCAGTATGGAGACTAGGCCAGCCTATGGAGGCCAGGCTGGCCTCTATCTCACAGAGATTGCCTGCCCCTGCCTGGTCCTGGGATTAAAGGTGTGCAGTACTATGCCTAACTTTTAAAAAAATGTTTTTTGGAGAGAGAGTTCAGCAGTAAAGAGCACTGGCTGCTCTTGAAGAGAACCCATGTTTAGTTCCCAGCGCCCACATGGTGGCTAAAAACCATAACTAGTTCCTGGGGACCTGATGCCCTCTTCTGACCTCTGTGAGCACTTACATATAATGGGTGCACTTACATATAATGCAGGCAAAATAAATTAAAAAAAAAATTTTCCCAGGTGTTGTGGCACACACCTTTAATCCCAGAACGCTAGAGGCAAAAGTAGATCTTTGTAGATTCAAGGCCAGCTTTAATTTTTGTGTGTGTGTCCGTATGCTACAGCACAAATACTTGGTTAGAGGACAGCTTATGGGAGTTGGTTCTTTGCTTTCCACCATGGTGATTGAACTGAAGCGTCAGGCTTGGCGACAGATGCCTTTATACACTGAGCCATATTGCCAGCCTTCCTCCCCCCTTAGGCTGTATGTTAAGACTATATACATAACAAATGCATATAAATAAAGGACTGGGGCTATAGCTCAGTAGTTGGTAGAGTGCTTGCCTTGCATGTTTGAGGCCCTAGGTTTGATCCCTAGTATGCCCCCCCCCCGTGCAAAAAAAATAAAACCCCCAAAAACAAAACCCTTGCTTAAAGTGGGTGTTATGTACACACCTGGATTAAGATATTGACCTGTTATTTATGATGCATTCTCCAAACTCTGCTGGTAGGTTAAAATATTACAAAACTTTTAAAAATATTTTATTATTTTTACATGTATTGCCTGCATGTAAGTAAGTTCACCCTCTGAGCTGTTTTGCCAGTTCTTTGGCTTCAAATTATGACTGATTACTAGTGTTCAGGAGAGAACATGCACTGTGGGGGCACTGTAAAATGGTGCAGTCTTCCTGGGCAGCAGAGAATGGCAATATTTATCGAGCAGAGCTAGCAACAGGTTGAAGCTGTGTCTAGAAATTTTGCTGGAAGGTGAGCCATGCAAAATCTCTGGGTCATAGTCTAGTTGTAGCTTTCCTGATGTTCACAGAGACCTGGTCTGGGGAAGTCATCGGAAAGGGCATAAGAAACATGAAGAGGCAGTTCTCCACATAGTCTGTCCCTCTGATGGGGTCACAGTGTGCACCCAGTGTTGAATGTCTGGCAGGACTGTGTTAGAGGGAGTGGGATGTTCAACCACCGGCTCGCAGCAGTCGACTAAAGCAGATCACTTTGTAAGACAGAGTGAGTGTTCTCATCTGATCCAGAGCAGTCTGGTGTGAAAGGGAGATGTCATCAGCACATGCTCAAAACAAACCAGAATAAGTGCAGAAGAGAATCAGCTAAGCCTGCCTGGGCTAATGAAAGGGTGGCAGAGGCAGCAGGTATCTTGATAGCCTTCAAATGCCTCTTCAAAGGGCCCTGTTCCAGTCTATACTAGAAGCAGCTTGTGTCCTTAGGGGATTCCTGCTATCCTGCACATCTTCCTGGGACCTTCCTTTAGCTCTCTTGTATCTTTGTCCTTCCTGTGTCCTTTTGGGATGATTATATTAACATTCTTCAGTGGCTTATTGAGAAAGGGTGTGAGAAATACTTTTTGGAAAAACTACTATTTCTGAAAAGTCTATTTTGATAGCTTTGCACCAATATAGATGCACCCCTTTCCTGGCTGTAGTTGTCAGTCTTTGCTTGATGCAGTTTCGAGCTGTTACTAATTACATATATGTTTATTGACTGTATACGCATTTAAGTTCTAATTTTAAAATAATCTGGGGAGTGGGGGGGATCATATCTATGGTACGTGTGTGGAGGTCAGAGGACAACTTGGAGGAGTGGATTCTCTCCTTCTACCATGTGGGGCCTGGGGAAGGAGCTCTGGTCATCTGGCTTGGTGGCAGCCCTTTGCCTGCTGAGCTATCTGGCTGGCCTGATTTTTGAGTCACTTGACTCTGCTGGAATGCCAGATTATATTCTCATCCCTCCAGTGGTTTGTCTGATCCTGAATTTGTGGCAGTTTTCCTGCTTTTGCCTCCCAAGTGCTGGGATTAACAGGTGTATACTACTATGCCTAGCCTTAAATGTATATTTTATAGATTTACTTATGGGGGCTGGAGAGATGGCTCAGCAGTTAACACTTGCTGTTCTTCCAGAGGACCCAGGTTCAATTCCCAATATGTTGGGTTCCGACATGCGGGGAGGGGGAAAGAGAGATCCTCGGAGCCATCCGATAATCCGTTTCTCCCCTCGGGGCTGAGCGGGATGGTGAGTGCGCGGCTCAAAAGGAACACACAGAGTCAGAGTAGGAACACGCTTTATTGCAGCAGGCACAGGTATTTAAAGGCAAAGTCTCACGGCGGGAAGTTTGAGCCGTGAGTGACAGTTGCTTCTGGTGTCGCGGACCTATGGGCTGAGGGGCCACTCCCTCTGTACGCCAGGAATGAGGCAGGGCCAGGTGGAGCCAATCCTATGTCTGGGATGAGTTTCCCCATCCCTCCCCCTTGACCTGTGCCGGGCGCTATCTTGGCAAGAATTGAAAGTGACCGAACAGGTGGGCCGACTCTAGGTCAGGCTGTGGAAGTGCTCCGGAACTCATAGGCCCAGGGTGTGGCTGCACTCAGACAGTCCCGACACCAATACCCATATGATGGCTAACAGCCATCTGTACCTCCAGTTCCTGGGGATCTGGCATCCTCTTCTGGCTGCTAGGCATTGCACACACATGGTGCACTTACATGCAAGACACTCACATTTTTTTTTAAAAGGTGTATTTATGAGGACTTGCCCACAGAGGCTATGAGAGGATGTCAGATTCCCTAGAGTTTGAGTTACAGATGGTTGTGAACCACCTGGTATGGGTGCTGGGAACTGAACTCGGGTCCCCTTAATTGCTAAGCCATCTTTCCAGACTCTTTAAATGTATATTATTTTTTGGTCTTTTTGAGACAGGGTCTCCCAGTAGCCCCAGCTGGCCTGGAACTCACTATATAGACTAGACTGGCTTTGAACTCAGATTCACTTGCCTCTGCCACCCAAGTGCTGGGACTTTAAAGGCGTGTACCATGACACCCGGCTAATAGTGATAATTCTTAACACATGATAATATATATATCACTGTAGATCAAGGGCTCTCAAACTATGACCTATTATTCAGGTGGCTTGATGCCTTCTTTGTGGATGGTCCACAAGCCAAGACTGGTTTTCACTTTTTTTTTTAATGCATATGCGTGTATTGCCTGCATGTAGGTAAGTGCACCCATGTCGTGCAGTGCCCATGGAGGACAGAAGAGGCTGTTGAATCCCCTGTAACTGAAGTTAGGGACAGTTGTTAGCTGCCATGTGGGTGCTGGGATTCAAACCTGGGTCTTCTGCAAGAACAGTCAGTGTTCTTAACCACTGAGCCCTGTCTCCAGCCCCTGGTTTTCACATTTTTAAATGGTTCTAAGAAAATTGAAAAAATATTTTGTGAGCTGGATGTAGTGGTACATATCTTTAATCCTAGCACTTAAGGCAGAGGTAGGCGGATCTCTGTGAGTTCGAGGCCAGCCTGGTCTACGTTGCAGGCCAGCTGGGGCTACAGGAACCCTGTTTCAAGAAGACAAAAAAAAAAAAAAATGTGCTTTGAAAATTACATGAAATTCAAATTTTGGTGTCCATAAACCAAGTTCTATTGGAGCACACTCAGGCCATTTGTTTATGAATCATCTATGCCCACTTCAGTTGTATGAGGGCGGAGTTGATTAGTTTCAGGAGAGACTACATATAGCTTATAAAATCTAAAATATTTACTACTCAGCCCTTTTTGGGAAGTTTGCCAGTTCATTTCAGAAATAGTCTCAGCACTTCAAAGTTTCCATGGTTTCTTTTGAAAAGTATTTTGTCAGTTTTATTGTTGTGCCTTTGAAGACACTCCCTCTTAATGTGGGACTTTTGCTATTTATTCTACTTAGGGCTAGTGGAGTTTTTTGAGACAGGGTTTCCCTGTAGCCCCAGTTGGTGTGGAATTCCTATGTAGACTAGTCTGGCCTCCATCTCAGAGATACGCCTGCCTCTGCCTCCCAAGTGCTGGGATTTTAAGGCATATGCCACCATGCCCAGCACTAGTGCAGGTTTTTTGATCTGTGGTCTGATGTGAACCATTTGGAGGTATTCAGATTTATTATCTCTTCAGACCATGTTTTTACTCCATTTTCCCATTCAGGCGTCCATCTGAGACTTAGATCTTTTAACTTGTCCTGTGTAGTGTTTGTTCCTTCTGTGTTTAGTCTGGATATTCTTTTTTAATTTTATTTTTTGTTTTTATGTCTGTTTTGTCTGCATATATGTGAGTGCACCATGTGCATGCAGTGCCCTCAGAGGTCAGAAGAGGGTGTCAGATCCCCTGGAACTAGAGTTGCAGGCAATTGTTAGCCACCATATGGGTACTGGAAATTGGTTCTGGATCCTCTGAAGAACAGCAAGTCTTCTTAACCACTGAGCAATCTCTCCAGCCCCATAGTCTGGATATTCTTTACTGACATATCTTCCAGTTTACAAATCTTTAGATGTGTAATTGACTTTTACGTCAAACTACATAAAGATGTCTTCTCTACCACTTCTGTCGCTTGGAAAGGTAGAGGGCTCTGTAGTTGTATGTGATAATTTATCATTGGAAAATCCAGCTTCTGCATTTCAATGTTCAAAGCTTCAATTCTCTAATTTTTAAAAAATATTTTATATGTATGAGTGTTATGCCTACATGTGTATAAGTGCACCCATGTGCAATGCCAATGGAGGTCAGAAGAGGGTGTCAGTGAAATTACAGATGGTTGTTAGCTGCCATGTGGGTCCTGGGAATCAAGTTCGGGTCCTCTGTAAGAGCAGCCAGTGCTCTTAACCACTGAGCCATCTCTCCAGCCTCCCCCCCTAATTTTTTTTTTTTCTGGTCTTTTTAAGACAGGGTCCCCCTGTAGCCTGAGCTGTCCTGGAACTCACTACGTAGACCAGGCTGGCCTTGAACTCACAGAGCTCTGCCTGCCTTTGCCTCCCAAGTGCTGGGGCTATAGGCGTGCACCACCATGCCCAGCTAGCCCCCTAATATTTATTAGCACAAAAATGATGCCTGTATGAGCATCATCACTGTACTGGTAACAACAGACTGAACATTTATGTCTGTGCAGTTTTCTTTATATACATACATGTGTGCACACATGCACACAATGAACAGAAAACATTTTATTAATTTTAGATACCCATTAAATAGGACAGATACAGGAATCAATAAATGTCTTAATATTTTTAGAGCTGTGACAAGACAGTGAACAAGATGCTGTTCTATGTAAACTATCATGGTGCATCACTAACATGGCAAGAGTAAGTGTCCATATCTTTGCTGAATCACCCAAAGCTAATCATTTTAGAATGAAAAATGTATCATTTCAGGGATCGGTTTCATTCACGGATGTAACTGTGGACTTCACCCAGGAGGAGTGGGAGCAGCTGGACCCCTCTCAGAGAATTCTATACATGGATGTAATGCTGGAGAATTACAGCAACCTGCTTTCTGTGGGTAAGGACAGATTTAGAATTAGCATTTATGTCCTTTCTCAGTTGCCAAAAATTAGGGTTCCTGAATTACTAAGTGGTGGTATCCATGCTGACATTGAGTACAGCCTCCAAGTTCTCTCTCTTTATTTTCAAGGTTCCTGGTGTCCAAATAGTTAGGAGCTGCGTTCTGTCAGGAAACTCTCTAGTATTATCAAGCTGATTTTTGAGGGGGAATGACAAGAGTTGCAGTTGTAGGTAGAACGGCTACTTCAGACCTCTAGGGAGACACAAGAAGGTGAAAAGCCAGAAGTGATTTTGAACAGTTTGAGCACCTTTGAGATTTGCAAGGGTTCATATATCCTGGCCTGGCCTTGAACCCCACTTGTAGCTGAAGATGACCTTGAACTTCAGGTCCTTCTGCCTCCATCTCTCTAGTGCTGGGATTATAGGCATGCAGTGCCACTTCTGATTTTATGTGCTTCGGATTGAACCCAGGGCTTTTCTTGTATGAGGGGTAAGCACTGTGTCAACTAAGCTCATTCCCAGCCCCTTTGAGATCTTAAGAATCTATTTTTCATATCCTAAAACCTTTAGAGATGACTGAGAACTGATGGCCGTCCCTCTGATCCAGTCATACCTCCCAGTACACAGCTGTCTGTGCTTATAGATACTTGCTCACACATGTTCATACTTGGTATTATGCTTATTCTCAATTTGCCAGAATGGTGACTTACGTATTTTAGCACATGAGGCTTTTTGATACAAGAGTGACATTGCTGTCATAAAACAGTAACAGGATTACAAGGAGTAGCTTAATACATAAGATAAAAGCAAAGGTTATTAAAAAGTCTAGGCCAGGGACTGGAGAGATGGTTCAGTGATTAAGAACACTGACTGCTCTTGTGGAGGACCCAGGTTCAATTCCCAGCACCCACTTGGCAGCTAACAACCATCCTAACTCTAGTTCCAGGGGAATCTAACACTCTTCTGATCTCTGCGGATATTGCAAGGCACAGGCGCACTTACATCATGCGGGCAATAAACTCATACACATAAAATAAATAGGTGTGGTGGTGCATGCCTTTAATCCCAGCACTCTGGAGGCAGAGGCAGGTGGATCTCTGTGAGTTCAAGATAGGGTGATGTGGCCCTGTAGATTAGTGCAGGTGAAGTAGGGGTACAGTAAAAGGAGAAGCAGAAAATTATGAAGACATCATCACTCTCCAACAACCACAGTGTCCAAAGCAGTGAACTCAGCAGGAGTAGGCGGCTGTGTTGAAGGACCTGACTTTAGAGCTCCAACAGTGCCATCCATTTGCAAAACAGTCTTCAGAGACTTGGAGCATTGCAGTGTGATGGTCTCTGCAAGCCTGTGCTTCTGAGCCCAATGACCTGAATTCAGTCCCTGGGACCCACATGATGGAGGGTGAGAACCAGCTCCCACAGATTGGCCGTTGATCACCACTGAACATGCCATGGCATGCACATAAAATAAATAGTAATAAAAAGAAATGTTGCCGGGCATGGTGTGGTGCACACCTTTAATCCCAGCACTCGGGAGGCAGAGGCAGGTGGATCTCTATGAGTTCAGGGCCAGCCTGGACTACCTAGTGAGTTCCAGGACAGCTGGGGCTACAGGGAGACCCTGTCTCAAAATGACCAAAAAAAAAAAAGAAAAAAAAAAAGAAATGTTAAAGTTATTTTGGGGGCTAGGGAGATGGCACACACAGATCCCCAGAACACATAAATGCTGATTGGCCATGGCAGCATGCCTGTAATTTTAGCCTTGGAAGGCTGAAACAGAGCAAGCTGGCTAGTAGACTAGCTGTTATCTGTGAGCTCTAGGTTTGATCGAAAGACTTTGCCTTGATGAATAAGATGGAGGAACTATTGAGGATGATTCCTGATATGAACCCCAGTGCTCCTCATGAACACACACACACAAACACAAACATATATACATACACATGCACACCACACACATGAAAATGGGCTGACAAGATGACTCAGTCGATAAAACCCTTGCCATACAAGCCTCACAGTCCATGTGAAAATGGAAGGAGAGAACTGACTCTGCACAGGTACCCTCTGCACCCTCCCACATAGTTTTTGAGTCCAAGTCTCACTGTGTAGCCCTGGGTGGCTGGAACTCACTGTGTATTCTGGCTCACCTTGAACTCCTAGAAATCCACCTGCCTCTGCTTTCCAAGTGCTGGGATGTGTGCCACCATGCCAGGCCAGTAATAGATTTTTAAAGTTATTTTGGTGTAAGAGGTGTAGCTCAGTTGATAGACTGCTTGCTTAGCATATACAAAGCCCTGGATTTGATCCACGGCACCTCATAAAAAGTAGCCAGGTGTGGTGGTACACACCTTTAATCCCAGCACTTGGGAGGCAGAGACAGGCGAATCTCTGTGAGTTCAGGGCCATCCTGGTCCACATAATGAGTTCCAGGACAGCTGGGGCTACAGGGAGACCCCCGTCTCAAAAAGACAAAAAAAAAAGAAAAAAAAAAATCCACCAACCCAGCATGGGGCTGGACAAATGGTTAAGAGCATTGGCTGCTCTTACAGAGACCCATGTTCAGTTCCCAGCACCCATATGGTGGCTAACATTTCCAGGGTATCCGAAACCCTCTTTTGGCCTCGTGGGCATTGCACAACACAAGTGCACTTATATACATTCATGTAAAGCACTCATACACAAAAATAAAGGAATGTTATTTTAAAAAACTGAGCATGCTAGTACACACTTATAATACTAGCATTTGGAATGTGGAGGCAAGAGAATGGGGAGTTCAGGGTCATCCTCTACTATATAGTAAATTTGAGGCCAGCCTGGGATACATGAGACCTTGTCTCAAGGAAATATTTGGGGGCCAGGTGTGGTGACACATGCTTGTGATCACAATACTTTTGGGGCAAAAGCAAGATGATTGCTGTAAGTTTTAGGCCAGCTTAGTCTACACAGTGAGACCCTGGCTCAGAAAAAAAAATTAGAAATTCATATAGATGAACAGAGTAGAAAACAGGAAAGAGATGAGAAGCAGGTAGGCCAGTGCTGGTGCTCACAGTAGCCTAGAATCAGCACATCACTTGCCTCAGTTCACCTAGGTTTGTCCATGTAGCATCTTCACTGGCTTACCTTCTTGGTCTCTAACTGTCCGTTGTCCTTGAGGATACTTTGAAGTCTTCGTTCCTGGAATGGCCATCCTTCCCATGTCATCATGATGACTTTTGTTGTTGCTTGGGGCCAAGGGTAGGGGCTATTGAGACAAGCTGTCTTTAGCCCAGACTGGTCTTGAATGCATGCCAGTCTTTCTGCCTTGGCTTCCTGAGTGTTGGGATTACAAGCATGAGCCACATCATCCAGTTTTGACATTTGCTTTGATTTTACTGTTCCTACACACTTTAGGGTCATTTGTCATCTGGCAATGCTATTGTGTCACAGTCGTGCCACCCCTGCCCCTTTTTTTTTTGCCACAAGATTTTTAATATTTCTATGTTTTCCTTTCAAGGTTTAAGAGATGAGAAAATTTTGCATTGGGAATTTTAATGCTGGGGGACTGGGTCCCAAACTAAAGAGTCAACTCTATGATATGAACATTTGTGGGGACTTCACATTCTGTAACAGAGGAAGGACTGACAAAGTACATTTCATTGTGTTCTATCCTAGAAGTCTGGAAGGCTGATGACCAGATGGAGAGGGACCATAAAGACCCTGATGAGCAGACGAGGCAGTTCGTAATTCTTAAGAACCAGTCAGCAATTGAAGAAAGAGGCAATCTCTTTGGAAGAACATTAAATCTGAACACAGACTTTGTGTCATTAACACAAGTTCCCTATAAATATGATTTATATGAAAAAACTTTGAAATGTAATTCAGACTTGCTTAATAGTAATAGAAGATGTGTAAGAAAAAAAGGCGGTGAATGTGGTGGATTTGGAAAACCACTTTTGCATCTGAAGCAAGAGAAAGCCCATCCTGGAGTAGAGTACTCTGAATATAGTGAAAATGGAAAAGCCATCAGCCACAAAGAAGTCATTTTTAATCATCAGAAAATTAAGAACTTGGTTCAGCCTTTTATTTGTAATTACTGTGACAAAGCCTTCTCCTTTAAGTCACTTCTCATTAGTCATAAGAGGATACATACTGGAGAAAAACCCTACGAATGTAATGTTTGTAAGAAAACCTTCTCCCACAAGGCAAACCTTATCAAACACCAGAGAATCCATACTGGGGAGAAGCCCTTTGAGTGTCCCGAGTGTGGAAAGGCATTTACTCACCAGTCAAACCTCATCGTACACCAGAGAGCACACATGGAGAAGAAGCCCTATGAGTGTAGCGAGTGTGGCAAGACATTTGCTCAGAAGTTTGAACTCACCACACACCAGAGAATTCATACGGGAGAGCGACCCTATGAGTGTAACGAATGTGCAAAAACCTTCTTCAAAAAATCGAACCTCATCATACATCAGAAAATTCACACAGGGGAGAAACGCTATGAGTGCAGTGAGTGTGGAAAGTCTTTTATCCAGAACTCGCAGCTCATCATCCACATGAGAACTCACACAGGAGAGAAACCCTATGAGTGTACTGAATGTGGCAAAACCTTCAGCCAGAGATCAACTCTTAGGTTGCACCTGAGAATCCACACAGGGGAGAAACCCTACGAGTGTTCTGAATGTGGAAAGGCCTTCAGCCGGAAGTCCCGACTCAGTGTCCACCAGAGGGTTCACATAGGGAATAGATCCTGAAGCTGCAGCAAGGTTGCACTGTGGAAAACATTTTCACCAGAATCCTTCCAGTGGGGGACCAACCTTCATGAAGGCACTGAAGGAACATGGCAGTTCACGTGCAGATACAGTCTAACTCAAAAGTTTAAGAAAATGAGGCTCCCATGCGAACATTATACTGCGATTTAATCTTCAGCTAAAAAACACAGAATGCATCCAGTGTAAATACACTCACCTGCAATATTTTAGTAGCTGTCTTGCTTTGTTTTTGTGCTGCTGGGGATCAAACCCAGGGCCTTGTTTGTGCTGGACAAATGCTTTACCATTGATCTACACCACAACCCAATGAGCTTTTTCAAGTCCTGAGTAAATCAACTATTCCAGGAAATACAAACTATATGTGGACAGTGCCCTAGGTATTTATATATAAGAATGTGCCACAGAACACAAATTGTTTAAAATCTGAATATGAATTTAATAGTCACTAGGAATTTGAAATTCTTCTGCGTGCAAACGTTTCCCATACTAAACATTACACATGTGTTTCAGTACCTTTCCAACCCAGTAAGCTTTCCAAGTGAAATACGTGACCGATTTTAAAGTAGCATGTAGCCCGTTTTTCCTACTGCTTGCTGCCATATGTCAGCTGGAGTGACCATTGTTGAACAGCCTCTTCACTAAAGAGGAGAAGATATTGTTGGAGTCTTAACCTGCTTCTAGGTTTGAAGATTTTCTAAAACATTTATATAAACATGCGAGGTCTGAGATGATGAAGATGAAGTGAGTGAAAGGCAAATTGTGCTCTAGGACTCTCGGCACTGTATATATGTGGTTAAACTACAGAGTAAGATTGTCAGTGCAGAGTACCCTCAGCCGTGCTTTTTTTTCTTTTTAACCTGTGAGGGGTTTACATACAAATGCATGTCTATTTCCAAAATACTGTATAGGCCAGAAAACTATTTTTGTATGTTTTCATTTCCTCGTAATGCTTTATGAATTTTTCTGCAAAACTTGGGTAGGGTGAATTGCGTAGTCACAAATGTTACATTTCAGAGACGTCAGAAAAACACAACTGTTGAGAGTCACTGTTCATTGGTTTTTATAGTTTCCTTGTGTATAATTCGCTTTAGAAATGAATTGTTGCTGTATTCTGTCATTTAAAGGTAGTATCTCTACTTAAATTTCACTCTTGTCAACGTTCCCCTTTGGAACCTGACTTAGCTGTTACCTTTTCTTTCAGTGGTCTCTACATATGTTGGTGACTAACCCTTAAAAACTACCTTTTTCCATAACTGAAAGATTGGCATTTTAGGCTTGATTTCAAATTCGCAAATTCAGATTTTTTTTCATCATGCATTAGAATTACAGATGACAACCACAACTGGATTTTTATTTTTGAAGATTATTGATTCTATCTTTTAGCATTGAGAAAATACACTTACACACACATGTAACTGCGGGTTTAGTGGTACACTCCTCTAATCTTAGCCCGCTGGAGGCAGAGGCAGGTGGATCTCTGAGATCGAGGCCAGCCTGGTCCACATAGTGAGTGCCAGGTGGGCTGAGACTAGGGAGACCCTGTCAGAAAACAAGCCCCCATACATACATACATACACACACACACACACACACACACACACACACACCCACACACACACACACACACACACCCACACACACACACACACACACACCCACACACACACACACACACACACCCACACACACACACACACACACACCCACACACACACACACACACACACACACACACACACACACACACCATCTCTCTTCAAACCAGGAATTTTGTTTCTAGAAATCTTTAAAAAACTTGCCAGTACTTAAGATGTTATGTTTATCAATGTGTAGTACAGTTTTAGTAAGTACCACAAAAAAATAATTATCAAAGGAATGCTTGAATAAGTTATAGTAAAAATATGCCCTGGCTAAGAGATTTTTTTCATTGAAAAGTGTATAGGAGCAGTCTTTCAGGTCAGATGAGAAAGTATGAGAATATAACAATTTTTATAAAATAAAGATCTAGAGACCTTACATCTGTGTATACTTGTGTCTGTCTCTGCTTGCCCAGCCCAGCTTTTTCCAGGGGTGCTGGGGATCAAACTTGGGTCCTCATGCTTGCCTGGCAAACACTTAACTGAGCAATCTCCATAGCTCCAGCATATTTTCTTTATGAAATCCTTTTTCTGTTTGTTTTGGGCTGATAAATACTTTCACCCCACACCTTTGGCTTGTCACTCCTGATATGCCATTTTGGTGGTACGGACAGGAACCCTCTCCTTGCCTCCCTTGGCCTCTCCACTCTGGTGCTTGTGGCAGGCAAGTGACAGGCCTGTGGCTAGGGCTGATCTCCAGTGAGACCAGAAGTCTTTCAGGCTGTGAGCCAGATGGCCACTGTGTGTCAGGGTGCACACTAAGACCTGCCTTTCAGCCCCTTGTAGAAAGCCTGAGTTTATTACCGAAGGACACTGGCCAAGGCTACACTTCAGTGGTACATGAAGGCAACAGGGAAAGGAGGGTGGCCTGCTCTGTTTGTGGGTTAGGTGGGGTTAGGGACTACTTTTCTTCCTTCTGGGAACTCTTTCACTCTAAGCATGTGATGCAGTTGTCCACAGAGCTCACTAGGCAGATCTGCATATGTTGTAAGGATTTTCTTCCCTCTTTTTCCCCATTCTAGCATTTTCTGCCATTCTCCAGAGCAGGAGAGAACAGTGTCGTGGCTGATGGTATGTATATATACTGTTCCCATCCTGGCTAGACCTAAGAGACCTACAGGTAACTAGGCTTTCATGTTCCCCAGGATGGTGAGTTTCCCCTTCATTAAACTGATTCTTGGCCAGTTCTGTTGATAACGTTTTCCCTTCTAGTTGGGGCCAGCATGGCTAACTGGATAGGTTTGACTCTGGAGTGAACGAGCTTCATATCAACAAGTTGGGAGGGTTTCTGTTCTTCAGGCCCACCTCAGCTTAGAGCATGCCTCAGTCAAGTCAGTGTGGTGAGATGGGGTCTCACCCCAAGGGAGGTCCACTGCCCTTGAGAGATGCCTTCTGGGTGAATATTGCACCTCTGATAGGATTCACCTGGGGGGGGGTGTCTCACGCCTCCTAGTCAATCTGACTCATCCCTGGGTTGTATTCTCAAAAATTAGTGTAAATTTGACCCTCAGACTCTGAAAAAAGAAAACTTAGTTTCCTAACAAAATTGGGTCCTTGTACCCATTCCCAGATGAAGAGCTCTGGCTGCCTCCTGGCACACCAAGTTATAACTGCATCCTACAGTTAGAACTCTTGTCATTTATGAAAGGACCCAGATCTTCTTTATCCATGCCTTCGTGCCTTGTCATGGGACCTCTCAGCTGTGTTACATGTGTCTGATTAGGTTTCATACTAGCCCACCCTCCCTAAACTCAGCCCCAGGTGACATCTTTGAGGACCATTTTTGCTACACTCAAGTACCTGTTCAACCTCTGGCTTCTCTGCCACCAACCAACCTTCCACCTAACAACTGTGCTCCCATTCTCCCTCCTTTTCCTCCCCCTCCACCTGCAGAACTTTCTCCAACTTCTCCTTCCTTGGATACACACTCTGCCTTACATACTGAAAACTCAAGGAACAATTAATAGCTACCCCCCCATGACTTGTCCCAAATATAGTCTAAACTAGGGTCATCTAGCCAAGCTCCCTCCACTTTAATTCAAAGGCTCCACTGTGGCTTTTGACCTAACCTGGCAAGACAATAACTTGGTGCACACATGAGGAAAAGTCTGTTAGGTGGTCTTAAGTTCATGCCTGGGCTGAGGAGTTTATGCTGGTAACCCAGTTACAGCCATACCATTGCTGTGCCTGATACAGAGCCCCACTGATCATATCAGGCCACTGGTATAGGGAACAATGGGGGAATGACTTGTTGGAACTCTTATCTGCTTATTAGAGATGATAACTATAACAAGTTGCAGAGGTTAAGGAGCTTCCAGGAGCTATACACTATATCTGGGCTAGCTAAAAACCAGGCCCAGGTATACAAATGCATCCTAAGATAGGAAGAGAAGCTATCCCAGCCATACATTTTAGAAGCCAAACATCTCCAAATATTGTCCTTGTTTTTTTGTTTTTCATTTTTCTTTTTGAGACAGAGCCTCCCCACAGTCCTAGCTGTCCTGAAATTCACTATGTAGACTAGGCTGATCTCCATCTCAGTGAGTTGCTGGGATTAAAGTCATGCACCACCACACCTGCACAACTCCAAATATTAGACAAAAGCTTCAAAAATAGGCCAAGAACCCCATGCTCCTTTTTCCACTTAACATTTTTTAAATTTTATGTATATGAGTGTTTTGATTACATATATGTAAGTGTACCTGTGCATGTAATGCCCACAGAGTCCAGAAAAGAACATGGGATCCCCTGGAACTGAAGTTACAGACAGTTGTTAGGCACCATGTGGGTGCTGGGAACTAAACCCAGAACTCCTTCAAGAGCAGCCAGTGCTCTTAACCACTGAGCCATCTCTCCAGCTCCCTTCTCCACTTTTTTTTTTTTTTTTTTGGTCTTTTGAGACAGGGTCTCCCTGTAGCCCCAGCAGGCCTGCAACTCACTATGTAGACCAGGCTGGCCTCAAACTCACAGAGGTCTGCCTGCTTCTGCCTTCTGAGTGCTGGGAATAAAGGCATGTGCCACCATGCTGAGCTTATTTTGGCATTTCTGACACCAGGTTCTCCTGTAATGGCCTGGAGCTGTCTAGGGCCTCAAGGACTATATACTCTCTTCTGTAAACTCGTATTTCACTCAGTATGTCCCCCCAAAAGTCTGAATAGCTCCATTCCTGGACACTCCTGTCACACTTTTCTTGAAGTCCCAATATTCTTTAAAGCCTGAAGAAAAAGGTATATAGCCTCTCATGGATAGATTTCTGCCTTCAGGGCTGTTTTGTATATCTATCTTGACAGTAAAAAAAAAATCAAGTGTGGGGAATAGAGAGATGGCTCAGCAGTTAAGAGCACTGAATGCTCTTGCAGAGGACTCCTTTTCACTTCCCAAAAACCACATGGCAGCTAACAACCTTCCCTAACTCCAGTTCCAAGGGATTCCACACCCTCTTATGACCTCTGTGGCATTGCACAAAATACTCATACACATAAAAAAATTCAAGTGGATCCTACATAGAATGGTCCAAAACCTGAGGGCCATAAATGAAGCTGGGGTCCTAATCCACCCCATAATTCCCAAACTTTTTTTTTTTTTTGTCTTTGAGAAAGGGTCTCCATGTAGTGGGGCTGGCCTGGAACTCACTATTTAGACCAGGCTGGCCTTGAACTGACAGAGAGCCACCTGCCTTTGCCTCCCGAATACTGGATTAAAGATGTGCACCACTATGCCTGGCATAATTTTATATCTTCTTAAGGATGCTTTTTGTTGTTAGGGTTCCAAATAGCAGCAGTTTCCCCCCTCCCCAACAGGGACCTCACCTTGAGCTTTGGAGTCAAGGGAAACAAACTCTGCTGAGGAGCAGCCTGCCTCTCCTCTGATCTCCAAAGATAAGCAGATTTTACCTGTTAACCAGAGATTTTAGAAGCTGTTTATCACAACAAGCTTTTAAGAGAGAAAAAGTAAACACTTCCAGACCCTAATCCCACCTGGCAGACTGAAC